ATATATATATATATATATATATATATATATATATATATATATATGTGTGTGTGTGTGTGTGTCCTTCAAAAGGGCCAGCTGTAGGTTTGAAAATTATTTAAGCAGATATCTTTGCAAAGGGGTGGACTGTAACAGGCTGCAGTCATGTTTTTCAATCTAACCATCATATACTTCCCTAATGCATATGTACAATTGTACTGAGCATTGTGGGAGATCTAATATGCTCAGTATTAAATAATGACATTTAATATGAAGATCTATTCAAATTAATGCAATCACCCCAGCCTTATGAAATATTGCTGTAAATGGTTACCTGGACTTACCTAGGTGGAACTAGGTGTAAAAAGAATCAAAATATTTAACAAAGCAAATATTCTGACTCAGCCTTATATTTTTATCTTTTAACTGATTGTGGAGGATGGGAAAGCCCTCCTTTCCATTCCATTCTATAGAGCTGATGGAAGCTTATTGGAGTAAAAGAGGAGATCAGGTCACGTAGAACCTTTGACAAAGCTTGTCTAGTAGTTGCTTAAATGGCTATTTTAATCACAAACAGTGTCAGATTTATTACAGAGGCAGAGATACGCCCTGAAATGAGAACAGATCTCCAGAGCTAAAGTGATTGAGATATATGAGTTTTCCTTCAGTTTACAGCTTGACTTTGAAGGTGATACTTGCCTGGATCGTCTTTCTTGAAGACCACTGAAACCAGCAAAGGACTGGCTTCTAATGATCCCATTAGGGCCTCCTGGAGAGAATGAGTGAGATCCTACTGACATGATTTCCGGGGATCGTGAAGGTATTTCTGAAAGACACAAGAGTAAGAATGTCAGCCAAAATGTAAGGTACAAGTGGGTTTAAATCAAGTCCTAACAACCTCTAAGAACAAAAATAAATGATATAATATTCATGCAATTTAATAATTATTATTAGGGCTTGATACTGTATTCAAGTCTCTGAATGCTGACAATATAGTACAGTATATGCACACTATCATAGTCTATTTCAGCCTGGAGCCAAAAAAATGTGTTTGTATTGATAGGTGAAAATATATCATTTTATTTCTGTGGATTAACAAGTTCAGTTGTTCAATAGCATTTGTATCAATGGCATATCCAATACACTGCTAGAATCAAAGCTCATATAGTATTAGACTAAGAAACCATAAAGTAGAAATTCAAATTTGACAGATTGTTTTGCTTAAGAATCTTTACTTCCATTAAAAATAAAGCAAACTACCCTAAAGGAAATTAGGGCAAAACATTTGCTTTAGTGCTAAATTGAGAACCTTTTTGTGAGCCGCCCAGAGTCCCTATGGGAGTGGGCGGCATACAAATTCTAATAAACTTGAAACTTATGGAATTATGCAACAGGAATTCTTGTCCACAGATATTAAGAAAGCAGAATCTTTTTTCTTTTTTAGAAACTCATAACGATGACATTAAAATTAAATATTGACTTTCAGTAATTATTTATATGCTCACTTGTAAGAAATAATCACAGTAAGTACCGTATATACTCAAGTTTATTAGAATTTGTA